GCCCCCTGGTGGGCTGAGCTGGCCACACACAATAAATAAATGTAATAAATAAAAATAAATAAATATTAAAAAAAAAAAGATTACTTTGCTTTGTAATGTAGTCAAAAGACTTTCTGAAAGCTCTGTTCTTAACTCCCTTCCTGAGGTAGTAATTTTCGTAACCACTGTACAGGTACCCTTTCCACCCTCTTTTTTAAGATATTAAAATGTATTGCATAACAAGCTCGGTGCTAATCCAGATGTAAGCATTATAATGACGCAGAGACCCTAGAATGCCTATGTGGGTATTAAGTGGTACTTCATACCCTTCCCACCATAACAATGAGAATCCTGCACACTCCTCAAGTTACGTAGATTTCCTGTAAGATTATGGCACATACTGTAACAGCATATAATTTTCCAACACTGCAATTCTTTTCCAATTGCAAGGTATCTTAAAATATTATCAGCACCAATGGGGAAAAAATGCCCAATTTTCAATTTGACAAAGCTTTATATTCAGTAAACAACAATTTGCACATGTACAACTGTAAAAAATGAGAATAATGTAACTATTCTGGACTCCCAAACATTTTTAAAAGCAATGTATTATTAAAATTGTTATTAGTGGAAAACTAAAAAATTAGGCATTTGCAATATACAAAGAGCAACATCCCTTTAGTAAGGCCGACAGTAATGATTCAATTCAGTCTTACACACTGAGCTGGCAAGAGACAATGGACTTGAAATACACATACTTAAAACTAATTCTACACTTTACAATTGCATGTATCTTTTAAGCATTTTAAAATCTCCTAGTCAGTAAAACTCTTTCAGAATTAAGACCCTGAATAAACACTACATTTATAAAAACTGGAATAGACAAACAGTATTTACTGAATCAACATGCGCTACAAACCCAGCAGCCTACGATGTAACAATATTTTATTCAACAACTAATTATGTAGGAGGTGGTAACTTCAAAGTCTCTTGGAAAGCTGCATGTAAGAAGTGTGCCTTTTTCATAAAATTAGATACAAAATGGTATTGATGTAATTCTACTCTCCAACTGCTTTATGACACTATTGAAAAAGTACAGACTGAGAAAATATGTTAATTCAAATTTGGAAACGAAAATATGAGCTTCAGAAGCCTGCTTCCAGGAAAAGCAAACTGATAAACTCGATACATTATACAGCTTGCCCTTGTAATTTTCTCCTTAAATCAGAGACTCCACACTTTCCATACAAAAAGAATAAAGAACTAAGATTCACTCCATAACCTAAATATAAGCTTGATCCCATCAAGATTAAAGCAGAGAAAAAGTGCCATCTGACCTTCCCTGGCACTAGCCAACTGTCCTCAAATGTCCTCTGGAAGTCTAGAACAAGGAAGATTATGCTTTTCAACAGCAGGAGACTTTCTGGATGGGCAGGGACTTGGGAAATCGCAGTCTAAGTGCAGGGACGTGACCATGCCTACGGTTTCACCAATACTCACTGTGTGACAAACCAAGAACTGTACCCAAGCTTCAGTGTCCCACTGCAAACAGCATCCCACCACCTGCCTCTAGGAGGGCAACAGCCTAAGCCCAGGGAGAGGGCAGGGTGCCACTAACTCCCCGCCTGCCACCACTCCCGTAGTGCTAAATGTCACAGAGTGACACAGGGGACACCACACGGTCCATCCCCAACATGCACTGAGGGCCGGCCGGAACATCCTGAAGCCAGCTGCCTCCCTCCCACACCTCCCCTCCACACAGCCGAGAGATGCCCCCAGGCAGAGCTCACAGGCCTTCTGCTTTCTGCATCGCAGGTGCTGCCCCTGCCTCCAGCCCAGCCTTGGTCAGCCGTTCTCCCCACCTTGCAGCCCCAAGCCCAGCCGACACCAACGCACCATCCAGGCCCCGCTGCCACCAAGCTCCCTCCAGCACAGCTGGCCTCTCTCCTACTGCACAGTTCTGCTCTGATCCAGAGAAATGGGCCCTAAGCACTACACCCAGAGGGCAGCAGGACAGGTGCAGACAGGGACTCGAGCGGGCACGGCGCAGGACAGGTCACTGCGGAGCAGGACTAGGCTGCCCAATGGTGGCGGCCAGTCCTTGGTGGGAGCACAGTGCAGGCACAGGAATGCGCACAGATCCTTCCCTCCTGAAGCTCCACTGCGGTGACAGCAGAAGAATGATGGTTTTTGAAAAAGGCAAAAAGCATAAATGCACATGAACAAAGATAAAAGAAACAGCAGGAGAGAGACACCAAACTGTGAGGCAGTGGGGATACGTGGTACCGGCCACAGGCTGGCCCTGGAATGACCCCAAGTCCCCAGCCTGGGTCACTGGGTGCTGTGGGCCCTTCAAGAGGCATGGCCTAGTGGGGTCTGCAGGTCCTTCGGAGCCAAGGACCCTGCTCTCTTCCTCTCCCCACGGCTGGCCCTGGTGGAGCACTTCTGCTCCACCCCAGTAAGCTGGCACACACATGCCCAAAAGCCAACAGCTCCTGGACCAAAACCTCCGAAACTGAGGGCCAGAATAAACTCTACTTTACATATATACAGAAGAAAACACTGACCATCCTCAGGGGCTTAGAGAAGACACAAGAAACACTACCCATGAAACAAAACTTTGAAAATTACATTTCATCAAGAACAAAAAGCGGGGGCCACGGAGATAGCCTGGCAGTCTAAGTGCCTGCCTGGCAAGCGCAAGGACCAGGGATCCATTCCCAGCACCACATGCCGTGCCGGCTCCAGAACCCCCAGTATGCCATGCCAGTCACTGAAACCAGGTGTGGCAACACAAGACTGTCATCCCAACACTGGGGAGGCTGCAAACAGGAGGACTGCTACAAGTCCAAGCCACAGAGCAAGACCCCGTACCAAATACATACATATATACATACGTACATACATACATAATTTTTTAAAAAGGCTTCTGCACATCCGAAGACACCACTAAAAAAAAAACCTACTAAGCTACAGAGTAGGCAAAATACATGCCACACACTAGGAAAAAAAATGTAATTTAGTTTAAACAAGAACACTTCACAAAAAATTGCACAAATAGACAATAATTACATGAAAAAGTACCCAACAGAATGATGAAGGGAAAAAAAGAGCAAAAATAAAATGCAGCTAGGGGAAGAGGGCAGTGATTCCCAATGAACTGGGTGCCACACCGCCCGGCCCAGCTGTTCTGGGGTGTCGCTGGCATCCGCGGTGCACAACGCACAGGGCAACACACACAGCAAGGAACTACAGGGCTCAGTTTTCTCAGCTGAGAAACCTCAATTGCTGACACAAGAGGCTGACAGCAGCAAATGCTGTGGAACATGTGGAGCAACCGGAACGCTCCCAAAACAAACCCCAAACATTCCTGGTGGTGAAATATCTATTCTTCACCATAAATAAACACAGTCTAAGCAGAATACCACAGACACCTTGGTAGAGCAAAACAAATCTAAATAATGGCTTTGAAATCTCAGTTAACCATAAGTCATTACAAACACTAACACTGGCTTAAGACCACCAAAACACAGATTGAAAAAAATGAATTTAAATCCAGAGATATATGTATATATTTATAAATTATTACAACTTATTTCAAAACAAAGGGATGAGTACAGCTGAAAGTAGATAAAAACAACCTAAATCAGCACAATACAATGGAAAGATAACCCAAACCTAAATGTCGGCTACATAAGAATTGTTCAAAATGGCAAAATGAAGATGAAATAAAATGTAAGATATATAAAAATACGCATATATTACATATCCTATGCAAAACAGTCAAAATACTACCATTTTAATATGTAATCAACATAAAATTTTAGACAGGTTTTGTCTTGTCACAAGCCAATGTGTATGTCACACTTTGAGCACATTTCCATTTGGACCAGCACACCACATATGTAGCAGAGGCCCCTGCTGGCATGTTATTAGGTCACCAGGCTCTAAGCAGCTACAAGGGACATCCCAGGTCGTCCTCCAGGGGCACCCTGTCACGGAACAGGATTATTCCCTTTACCTCTCCCTGAGTACCACGTAGAGGACAATCCTCCACGTTCTCACACACAGTAGCAGCATCAAGGGATTCCGCCTCCTGCACCAACCTGATTCAAAACGTGTGTTCCTAAACACCATGCCGTTCCACATTAGAAGTTCGGGTTTTCTCTAAATCACTGAAACGTTCAACTACATCAATGAATGCTACCTTCAGTGATACAGTATTTTTTGAAATTTAAATTTCACACCCTATTTAAAAACAATCCTTTTCTCCCATGACTTAAAATATTAAACGACTTACCATTAATAGGAGTTTCTGATACTTCTGTTTTAAGTCTGACACATCGGCAGACGGGTCCGCCCCCAGGACGCCATACCAATCCTTCTTTGGCATCTGCTCCCTCGCCATCATCCCTCGAGCTACGAGCGGGTTTTCTCAGATCGGCTGGATAACACAGTAGGGGCAACTGGTTACAATCTGCACGTATCTTAAGAGAAAAGTCAATCTGCCTTCACTATGTAGCTAAGCCAATCATTCTAATCCAAACTTGAAGCGGATTTCCGAAGCGCTCAGTTACCCCACGCGCGTGGCGCGCGCGCTGGAAGCTTCAGAGAGGCCGCGGCAGCCCGGGCGCGCGGGACCGAGGGGGCGCCGCAGACGGTGCGC